TCTCACAACAGGCAATCCAACACCAACAAATCTCTTCCAAACAAATTCATGCCAAAAAGAAGAGGCATGAGTGGTTGAAAATTGCCAATGATGCAATCAAATCACTGATTTGCAAATTACATGTTATTAGGACTGGTCAGTATCTAAAATGTCTACTTGCTGCCTACATACTATTCAGAATAATGTAATTAAGTCATGGTTATATTTCATATAGGACCATTTAAATAATTAATCATGAATCACATTAGTTTGTGTAGTTAATCACAAGTAATTGCATTTCTCATATTTGCTCAAATTTAAACCTAAAGAAAGACTTTTCCATTTTATAAGCAGTACAATTTATAATAGTCATGAGAGTGGCCAAAAAAGATTCATCAGAATATATTTATTTACTTTTGGCAATTCAATAACATTATTTTCAGTGTGTGAATGCAGGATTTCATAAGCTGAACATAAACCATGTGTGATTTACAGCTTTCCTCACTGACGTCCAATGAGAGCAACAGTGGATGCATGTTCCGACTAAGTGTATATTCCATATTACCAATGGTTCCAGCTCTTCTGTGATTGTAGCCTCTTGCTCACATTCTGCTACACTACATCTTGTTTATTTTGTCCGTAGTTCTCCCAAAAAAACTGTCCAGTGTAGTCTGCTAAAGTCGTCCTTCAGGTCTAATGTTACTGATATTACCAGTATTGGTATTGGACATCAGCGGTGTTTCGCTTATTTTAGACTCAACATCCTTCAGTGAAAAGAACAGTAGTTTGAGCTAACTTAGATTTTATTAAGAGGGTCATCAAAAAAACTTACCATTAAAAAGCTGTATTTGAAGGAGAGGGCTACGGTGTTGAAGCCATAGTAACAACACAGAACTAGGCCAGAACTATGGATGGTTTGAAGAATCAAACTAGGTAAATGCATTAACAGCTTTACAATATTAATGGCATTAATCATTTATCATATTAATGTGTTATTATCACATTAACTTCGACACATTTCAAATTATATTAAAAAACATTGTGTCACAGGGGATACACTCAATTTAAATGCTAGGAGATTCATATATTCTTCATTCTCCTCCTTCTAGCTGTCCTGAAATTGTAGTATCCCTTGACGCTGAAAATGCTTTCGAGAAGGTGGATGCATCCATACATACCAAAGGTATGTAGTCACCACTGTTTCTTCTGCATCGTGGGACACGCCAAGGATGCCCCCCTCTCCCCTTGCTCTTTAATTTGACTATAGAGCCATTAGCTATATGGCTCTGCAGTCAGGAAAGATTTGAGGGCATTACACACTACAGTGTAGTCCATAAACTTCTCCTCTATGCAGCTGACCTTCTTCTACACATTTCTAACCCCATCTCTTCCCCCCCATCAATACTGAAAATTGGCTACAAGTTAAGTCTGCCAAAACGCAAATTATTTTTTGTTAACCCATCAGCAAAGGCACCATTCCCTCTTAAATATCAACTTGATCACAATGGTTACCCTTCTTAGATTTTGTAACTTTTTTTTTTTTAACACATCCAAGTTTTCATCAGTAAATCTTTCTTTGTCAACCATTTGCTGAACTCATTCCTATGGAACAATAAGCCTGCACGTCTAATCAATTCTTCAGCTCCCCAGTCTGAAGGAGGCCTATCATTGCCTAACTTTCATCATTATTACTGGGCTTGCAACATTCACAAACATTTATACTGGGCCAACCACAAACCGTCTAATGACTGTTTGCCTTGGGCTCATATTAAAAGCTCCTACTCGCAAAGCTCACTACACATTTATTTGCTCTCAGTTTCCCATATCAGTCAACAAAGCCTCTACAAACTGGGTTGTTACCAATACTATTAATATCTTGCCACAATTCAGAAAACAGTTTGTTTAACATAGAGCTTCAATCCATATGCCCATTCCAAAAAAACACCTGTTTCTCCCATCCTGCTCTTACCCTGCATCCTGTATTTGGTCAAGTATTAGCCTTGCTACAATTATTGATTTGTATAAGGATGGTGTCCTATCTTTTTCAGACCTATCAATGAAAGTTATTATTTCAGGTAATCGTTGGACTGGCATCCTAGACCAGGTGAACCCTCATCTATAAACACAGACATGGCCTACTGCAGTGTAAAGTGCTCATAAAGCTCCCTTTACTAATGTCAAACTGGCAAATATGTTTTAGAATAGAAGTTTCTCTCTGAAAGCTGAAAGGATCCCTGGAATCCTGTTCTTGACTTTATCAGCAACTTCATCTATCACCAGATGGGGATAGTGATGCCTAAGTGTGGCCTTCTGTAAAAGAGAAGTTTTTCTTTTTAGTGTTTTTTATTGTCTTTTTGTTCACGATCTACTTACTGATCATTAGACTCCTGTTCACTCTTGCTTTGTTACTTATCCTATTGTTGGTTGCTCAGGAGCAGCTGCTCAGGGAGAGGTGGGTCGGGGGATGATGGAAGGGTTGGAGAAATATGTAGAAACAAGCCTGTTACAGTTATATTTGTGAAATATAATGTTTTGTCATTACAAAATGCAATAAAATGATTAGCCAAAAAATTTACATTGATCATTTAGGGGGCTCAATAGGTTAGAGTCGTATAGTCTTGCTTTGTGGAGCCACACTTGGCAAATTTTCATGACTATTTTTTTTTACACAAAAACAAACATTCCCCAATTATGTAACTACATTAAAAAAGCTTCTCAAAACAATAATGACTCTAGACTTGTAAGGGTTAATGGAACACAGGACCAACCTCGATGCTCTACTTTCCCTTACTGTTTGGCCTCCTGGTGATAGGGCAGCTGGCACACACACACACACACACACACACACACACACACACACACACACACACACACAACCACACACACACACAACCACAACAAATGCACAAGCATGTTTGCATGGTCTGATTTTAAAAAACAGACAGCTCTAAAGGGCAAATTCACTGGCTGTGACCCCCATCCACTGAAAATGTGCATGAATCCAGGCTAAAGAAGCGTGTCGAAAAACGACAGTAACACCCAATGATGCCTGCCCTCCTCCACTTTACTCCACATAGCTCTGTTGGTGAAATGATCCGTCAACACCAGAACCAGCATGAGTGTAAGGAGCTTTTCTCCCACTGTTATAGCTCAGATAATCCAGCAAGCATGTCCAAAAGTATACCTGCACTGCAACACACAAACACAGCTGCTCTCATACCAGAATCCTGGTCACACTGTGGCTTGAAGGAGGTCCAGGCTCTCACAACAGACCATAAGGACTAGAAGCAAGTATTTTCAATCAGAATCAATGATTTATTATATCAGGTTTTGAGTTCTATAAGTTTGAGTTGAGTTGTTTTATTTAAAATATTAGTAATTTTATATAATGATGTAACATGATAAAAAGCAATAAAGAGTTTTATTAGTAAATTCAGTAAAAAAGAAATTGACCAGATTTTAGGCATAATGAGCATATGTATCAGTTCAATTCAACATTTTATAATAAACATTATTCTTCAGGAAGTGATTGTATCTGAACTGAATTGTGGCATTAAAATCAAAAAGTAAACGTAAATATTCTGCATTCTTTTAAGCTATCCATGCTCTGTCCACAAATTCCCATAGCAACTGTTGTTGGACAAGTGCTTTCCCCAAATATATAAATTAAGACAAGGTTATTCATTTTCAGGTTGTTTTCATTTGTTTGTGGGTGAAAGGTCACACTCATAGCTCAAGGTCACAGACTGGGTGTATTTTTATGGGCTGTATAGTCCAGCATTTTAGAGATGAACTGGTTGATAGTCTAAGTAGAAAGTCTTTTAACATCGTTAGTGAACATTACTCAGTTAACATCATCAGCTTACATTAACTACTACAGCAGGACTGAAATGAGGGATTTGCTATCAACATTTCCTTGTAATACTTCCATACATATCAACATTACAATAGGAAAGATACGCACATGCTGAGACCTTATTTATGCTAAAAACCACTTGTAGGAGGGGCATTTCAGAAAATATACAGTAGTGCACAGAAGTAAGTCTCCACCTTCCATTTATTTACTTTCCAGGTAAAAAAGTAGAAGTTATTAATTTTTTAGCATCAGGGGAAAAAAAAACACATAAAAGCCTCAATAGCTACACTGTTAAAAATGAGAGATCAGCTCAACTCAAAATGATATAGTAACTGATTACATGGCTTTTCTTGAGTTGATTCAACTTGAGGACACTCTCTTAATTGTTTAGTTCTGCATCTCAGTTAGATTAATAAAATGCACTTGTTTTTTATATTGAACTTCCCCACCAGAGCTCTTTCCATCATACAATCCTGCTAGACATTTTTCTTCTTGGGTATGCACTTATGGATGGCTATGGCATTGCTGCGTCTCAAACTCACAACCTCCTGTTGGGGTGATGGCTTAGTCCACTGCACCACATGAAGCAACTCAGATTTTGTGTCTACAAATGTTTAATACACTGGAGAAAATATTTATTGTTTTACCCTTAAAGAGTGGTATAGCCTCATATGGTGCAACGGTTTAATAATTCATTCCAACATCCGGAGATCGTGAGTTTGAATCCCAGCAAATACCATAGCTGTCCATATCCAGAAGCCCAAGAAAAAAAATATGGGACTGTGTGATAGAAGGAGTGCCAGCTGATGGGGAAAAGAACCCCCTGGAGTGAAAGAACCCAACTTTGATTTTGTTTATCTAACTGAGATGCAGACCTAAGAAACAGTAGCTGGAAGAATTTTTGACTCAACTAAGAGGTTTGAGATGTGTGAGCTCTGGTGTCCTCTCACTTAAGTCAACTCAGGAAAAGTCATGTAATCAGTTACTATATCATTTTAAGTTCAACTGACCCAAACATATTCAATCATGCTGAGGTCTGGACTCTGGGGCTGGTCAGTCCATTGTTCTGAGAACACCAGCAGCTTCTTTGTTTGATCTCCTTTTCTCAGTGAGGCTTCTTGACAGCTACACATCCTTTAGGACTCATTGTGTTGAGTTGTCTTCTCACAGAGGAAGGATGGACAGAAGCACCTGTGGATTTTTTCAGATCTGAAGTAAGAGTGGAGCTTGATTTTCTCCTCTGAATGTGCTGTTTATCAGACTGGGACAGTGTTGGTGGTCTAACAGGTTTTTAGGAGTTTTTTTCATATTTTTAGATTGTACTTAATTTCCATTTTGAATAGAAACAAGTTTTATTTGCATGTTGGCATTGGCATTTAAGATTATAAAATATGCATGTTCAGTTAGTCATATCTAAACTTTTCACAGTTAGACGTTTACGTTAGGAAAGCTTGGGTTAGACACGGCAGCTATGTGAAGGGAGGCTCTGCTGCCCAACTAAATAAGAGCTCGCCAAAACACAAATTGGCTGAAAAAAAAATCAATGAAGCCAATCAGCAGGAAACAATACTCAGTTTCTGAAAGTGTAGGATATGAGAGAGGATATCTTTGTGCGTGTGTGTGCCTGATGTCCTGCTAGTAACCCTGCCTAACAAGGTCCAATAATAGAACATCCAACGCAAAGCAACAATAGAGTCTGAGACCGCGCGGCAGCCTGCCTCGGGAATAGAACTGCCTATTCTCTCTTCTTTCTCTCTCACGACCAATGTGACAAGTAGATGACATGCTTCATGCTCCGACCACCGCAGCCGGGAACTCACGTCATTTACTTTGACGGACGCAGTGGAACGAAGCGCACTTCCATTTTGCAGCTAATGACATCCCGCTCGTGCATCCTCGTAATGCTGTTTACATCCAGACCTGATTGATTACAGCCCCTGCCACTGCCAGAGATCTTCAGCTGGAACAGATGAAATGAAGTACAGGCAGATTTTCTCTCGGTGAATCAACATTTAACTTCGTCTTTGAAGCTGGCAGCAAGTTCTTTCTGTTTTCGACTTACGCTGCATCTTCTTGAGCCCAAGAGACCGAGATATGCCAAAGTTCACTCCAGCAAAAGGGGAATGAGTTTGAACCTCAAATGCACCAAGTAATTCATTACATATTCTCTTTTGCTTCCTGTGTTAATCATTATCTTTGCAGATGCCTCTCATATAGTGTGGTTTCTTTGTCAAGTGAGAACTGAAGTACTGCAACGCCAACAGCAATGCCGCAGTACACTGCCCACTTTACTCTAGACTACGCTGTCCACAAGCTGATTGCAGCAGGGTGTGCACGTACACTGCCCGTTAAAAATTTAGGAACACCTAGCTTTTCAAAGTGTTTTTAATACAAGTGAGAATGTATTCTTTGTCGGTTTGTGATAACCATATATTTTCTTGACAAAACAACATCAATAACAATATACATAACTAAAAACATCTAACGTAAACCTTTAACTATAAACTATAGCTGTTGCACACAATAAATTCAGTGTTTCCAGCAGAGTATGTGAGAGGTGCGAAATGGGAGTGGAGCTGGAAACGGAGCGATGTGATTTTGCCCAGGGATCGCTCCAGCACTGCTCCACCCCATGAGCCAGTCCTTCTTCCCCCACACTGACCACCTCTGCCGGACATGAGTGATGTGGAAGTGTGACTGCTACAGCTCGCACACCATGGCCATTCATACACAGCATTTGTGCTGTGGAGTTATTCAACAGACTGGCTCAGGAGAATCTCACCAATCGCAAAAGAGTTCTACAAATACACACAGTTAGTTTGGTGTTGTCTGTTTTGCTGCACAAATGATAAAAATGATAAAAAATGTCTGTTGATGACATACTTTGGTTCCAGGCATTTCACAGTGATGCTAACTTAATTGAAGGTGCCTATTATCGTGTGGATATGAAGAGATTAATTTTGTGAAGAAGCGGGGAGGACAGTCACAGCCCTTATTCAGCCAATCTAAAGACATTTTAGTAAACATTTGACTTTATTGGCAGAACTGAGATCTGCAGCATTTTCCTAGAAAGATATGTGATATTAGCCAGATTCTATAGCATTGAACTGATCTGGAAGTGAATGCTTTTATTCTCCTCAGTTGTACTACAGTTTGACTAGCTATAAATGAAAATTTTGAACCAAATTTTAACTTTTTAAAATGTTTAAAATGTTAGTTCTTAAGTGAGGTAACATTAACTACCAGTTCTGAAATGTAAAAGGAAAGACAAGTCTCGTGAGTTCATTTCATTTTCACATACATGATTTCTTTCTTTATTATTTTTTGAACGATGGGTGCAAAATGTTATAATTATCAGTATTTGTTCTTGTGTGCAATTAAGGCCTTTTTACACTTTACCACATCTTGATTTATGTGTACTGCTTGAAACTGCTGAAAGCTAAGGGACCATCTATAAATTACACCACACATGGCAGTCATCATAGCCCAAGCACAGTGCACCAATATGAAGAGTTTTTAGAAATGTCTGTCATCTTTATATGTGAAATATTTCCATATTTGCTTCACTTAAATCTGGAAATTTCGCTAAACATGAGATCAGTGACTGCTTATGTCCCACCTTCCCTGTAGTTCCACATCACACCTTATTTGAATACCTGATTTTCAAATAGATACACAAATAGCACACACAAAGCACAGACAATTAAGTTACCTATATCATTTTGTTTCAGAAAGCAAAGAGTTTTCCTGTTCGCCTCCTGCTAAGTTAAATTTTTGTTGGAAACGTCTTGTTCAAACTGTTTTTCTCTTGTCTTTATTTATTTATTTGACTTTAAAAAGCACAAGTAATCAAAATGTAAAGAAAAGTAATCAGGTTACATTACAAACAGGTAATCAATAATCTGTACTGTAATATATTTTAAAATAACCCTCCCGACATACGTTCTTAGTTAGTCCCATGTACAAGCACACCGTTTATATATTTAGAGTCCTATGTACAAACATGCCAACATAGTCTGATTAACTACAACTTGCTCTTCAACTTTGTTCATGCATGTATGAGTTTCCACTGCTTAAAATATCAATGTTCCAGTTTTCCGTCCATCTAAATATTTCATGATGTGTATTTTTGACAAAGTGTCTAACAAGTGTCCAACAGGCCTTTCATCTTTTGACACTCATATTTGTTTTGGTGTCACAAAAGCGTTGTCATGTGTGTGGTGCTGCAGAAAGTGCCTCATACAAATACTCAGTACAAAACTGAATCAGACAGCAATCTAAGCATTTGCATTTTGAAATTTTGAACAGTCCAGCCAATTTCAGCCTGGACCACATGTTTTAATCAGGTTAAGCATAAGTCAACTAAAGCCAAAACCATACTTAAGCTATAATACATTCAAAGGTTTGGAATGACTTGCAATGCTTACAATGTTATTGTCCAAAACTGTTCTGCAAAAGGTATTTTTAGATGTTTTATTTAATATTTCAATAGTTCTGTGAACAAGACGTGAACAAAAAGCTAAATAATATATTTGAATAATCTATTTACATTTTTTCATGTTATCTGCCTTGAGATCTGATCACCACGTTTGCAATCACAGTTTTTTTTGTCTGAAATGTTGCTCTTTGATGGGAAACTTAATGCTGATTCTCCTAAAATTTCTTAGGGATGAAAAGCACTACACAAAAAGAAGACACGAGAAACAGAAGCGATAAAGGAAAGACGAGACTTTAGTTGAAGATAAAGATGAGCATTACTATCTGGGAGAAGATGAGCACAATGTGTGCCTTTATTGAAATCACTACTAAAACTCAAGAGGAGATACCTGAGATTACAGAGGTCTTTTTCTCAGGAGAAATATCTAAGCAGCAGTGGGAGAGACTTAAAGCTAAAGTCTCCTTAGTCTTTCCATCTGATCTCATTGTTGTCTTATAAGAAACTACAGAGATATTAAGCAAATCTCTTTAAAACTTTCTTTAACCTGAGGGATTTAATGAATTCTGGATGTTAATTATAACTTCATTCTCAATGCCATTCAGCTTTATCAGTCAGTTTAAAATCCTCAGCTCCGTTTTTCATCCTGGACATAACTGACATTTCTTCATTTATATTGTCTTAGGTTATAGGTTATTTGCATTCATATATCTTATGTTATAGAACTGTGTAATAAAACTTCGGGGCCCACTGGTGGACCCTGGCCATTTAAGGGGTTGAACTAATATTGAATAACTACACGTAATCATAGTTAGTGAAAATCAAACATGACTCACAAGAAGGAACGGAGCACCTAGACTTTTGACAGGCAGTGCAGGTGTAGGTATGTGTGCAGTGGGAGTGCACTCACAACCAGGAGTCGGTTCTTCTCTTTCTCCGAGTTTGTCTGGATGTTCTCCAGGGTGGCCCGATGCTTTTTGGACAGCTCATCCAGTGCCCGGCTCTGCGCCTCTTTAAAGTGAGCCGTGTCCTCCTCGTATTTGCTGCGCAGGTTCATCAGCTCCTTCTCATATGCCTGCTTCTCTTCTCGAAGAGTCTGCAGAGACAAGAGCAACAGGAGGTGGAAACTCAGAGCTTTGACATGACAAAAGAAGTAGCATATCTGAAAAATGCTATTAGTACAACTTTGAACTAGCAGAGAAGAGGAGTAAGAGAAGATGAAACATTTAACTGTATGTAAAGCATCCCACATGTCAAACCTCCTAACAGGCTTTTATATATGCTTCTGCACAGGTTGCTTTAAAACACATGGAAAACGACAGGCAGCGAAGTACCCAGCCCACGGCACTCCATCAGATTCAGGCGCATCACGTTGCTGAGAGCTGCCATGAACATGCATAGATATGCTACGCAGGTCTGTTACTCCCCACGTTTTGGATGCAGTCTAAGGGAATAACACTGACAGCGAAGAGAGATGCCTCAAATCTCTCCTGACACATCCCACATTGTTAGTGCAATGCAACCAGCCAAAACCAAAAAAAGCAAAAGATCCCATTAAGGCAGCGGCAGGAGCATCCAGCAGAGCCAATCCCGCTCTGCTGCCTCCATTCAGCACCATGTTGTCATAGTAACGCCAAACTCAAGGCTATGTTCATAACACATATATAGGCTCACAGAGAGAGAGAAAAGAGAGAGAAAGAGAGAAAAAAAAACAGAGAAACAGTGCAGAATGATGTTAAATCCCTCAGCATGCCACAAAGCCTGCCAGAGGTCAGCAAGCTGTACTGGCCTGCATCATTATAGCTCAGATTTTCAACTGCTGTGCTGCTCAAATAAGTTAGCAGAATGTGTAGAACTGTAGAGTTCGGCTATGTTACCCACATACAGTTGCATGCAAAAGTTTGAGCACCCACGGTCAACTGACTTGTTTTGTCTTTTTTTCTAAGCGAAAGTAAGTTAACACATCTTCTACAGAGAACACACTTCTGCACATTTTAATGCACAATTAATTGTATTTAACATATTAGAAATAATAAAACATCAAGTGTGGCCTGCGCAAAAGTTGTGGCACAACATGTTACAATATGTTAAACCCAGCGAATAAATAAATGAAAAAAAATGCCATGTTTAAGTATGTTCCCTGTAAATGATGTGTTAACCTATATGCACTTAGATAATCAAGAAAACGTGATTTGTCTAAGGGAATTCAAACTTTTTATACTACTGTATATTTAAGCAATAGAACACGAGAGGGAGTGTGTCACGGCTGTGATTTGGTCACGATAACACACGTCCTCAAGTGTTCTATTGCTTTTATACAACAGTTAAATAAATAAAGTAAAAAATAAATAAATCGGGCAGTGAATGAGGCATTTAACATGTTTTAATGTTCGCAGTTCCTTCCGCCAAATTATAGTTCCTTAACAAGCAGCTTGTTGCTACGTCAGAGTATCAAGCTCCGCTCACTCGCTGCACAGCCGGCAGTTCGTTCTCCAGCTCCTTACACAGAATTTAGTGTCGTCTCATCCTCAGAGTCTGACCAAATCGGCTGTCGGTCAAATGTAATCTTAAAAGTATCAATTTTCTGTTTGTGGCAAAGTAAGAAGTAAAAACGTTCAAATGGCTTGAGCGTCTCCTACAGCTGTCAAACTCGTTGCTTAGCAATGCCGTCACAGCGGAGTGATACAGTGTTTCTGAAAAAAACGTGATGTTAAGGCGAAATAACAGCACGGTTAGAACGCTTCTCAACCAATCAGCTTGCCTGGCCGAAACCAACTGTTGTATAATTTAATTGCATAACACTCTCTAAATTCTAAATGCTTCCCATCATTCAATAGAATTAAACCTTGTAATTCAAAATGACAAGAGTGACTTGGGTGTTATTCAGTGATTTAATCTTAAGACTTATCATTCTTCAAATGTGTGATCTCCTGATGAAAGGGCCAATGCTTAGGCGGTTGTGCCATTCGGGAGCCATGGACTGCAACTTTTTACCTAAATCTCCAAAGAGGATTTAACAGTTTCATCACCAGAAAAAGGAAGAAATGTTTTTAATACACACAATATGTTTACTTTTGTATAACCACTGAATATTTTTCATGTTTTCTTCACTCATTTAAGTTAATGAATTTCAGCACTGAGGTTTACAGAGTGGAGTGCACAAGGGAAGGGCCCCGCTTCTGCACACTGCTTTATACTTATGCAAATTGAGAAACAGAAGAACATTATGCATGACATTTACATGGAATTGCAATCTGCTGTTCAGATTTCAGTGTACATGTACTCTGCCCTTTTCTTGAGGCTGTACTTCAAAATTAAAATGTTCAAATTTTAAATAAAGCATTCTCTTATGCAGGGGCGTTTCAAGAGCTGAAGACAGAAACTTTTTCTTTTTTGAAAGAAAACTTGCTGAAACGCCTGAACTAAAATGTGCTCATGGACGGCACTTCTGAACATATCAATAATAAATACAGCCTAATTGCTGTGGGATGTCTTAAAAGCCCAGCCTAGAAAGCAACGTTTTGAAAACAACACAGAAGCTACTCTATAAAAATAGTCCTATGTAACACGAATGATTAAATTAGGGCACTTAAAAACTGAATATGAGAACAACTTCAAATAGAATTTCTGTCCAATCATCTTTTCAAGTCTTTTGAATTATACAAGGTGGTCCAGCTTTAGGACTTATAACGGTCAGCCAAGCTGCCATACATGTTAAAAAGCTGATAATGTGTGAGAGAAACATTTTACTGTGGGTTCCCTATTTCTCTCACAAACACAAATCTACAGTACCAGTCAAAAGTCTAGACACACCTGATTGACCATTTATACGTCATTTTTCTTAACAATGGTGGTGAAAGGAGCCAGAGGTTGTGATGTGTACAATGTCAATATAGCCTTTTTTTTACTATCTAAAACAATCAGGGAACCTACATGCGTGTCCTGAGTTTTTATATGCAAAATAGTTGTAAATCTAATAAATTAGGTTCTTTGGAAACTGTTTTACCATACAACACCCTGCATGTATCTCTCCACCATGAACGTATTTTAAAATATGTTTCAGGATAAAACCTCATCTCATATCTTTTGTAAAACAATGTTTCAGGCATCAGGCAGTGTATTCATAACCATTTCATGGAATAACTTTGTGTGAGGGAGCTTTTAGACGCATTAAACTCTGGTTCCTAGTATCACCACTGTGAACTTCTCTCAGTACGTTTCTCTAGGATGGAGCATTTCACACCAATTCGCTCTGAATGACTTTGTTTACATCTAAACCACTTCATGAGCGGAATTCACTTTTAAAGACATCCTGCTCTGAAGACTTATGCTTAAATGCTTGAAATGTGCATCTAAAGACAAATTTAAATTAAAAAATGAATGCCTATGTATGAATTTATTTCCAAACAATAGCACGTTTTTAAATGTCCCCACGTCCCTTGTTAAAAAAGCATCCCAAGTGGCTCTTCGTGAAGCTGCTTGAGAGAATTCTGAGCATGTGTAAAGCTGCATCAGGACAAAGAGAGAGGCAAATTTGTAAAATCTAAAACAGAAGAACGGGTTTGATTTGTTGAAAATGTTTTTTTGTCATTGCTTAATTCCAAGAATGTTAAAAACCAAAACTACAGAAAAACTCCTCGAGCAGAGGCGTCCCACCGTCTGACGGGTATTGCACAAACCATGCATTTCACTGACACTTCACACTTGTGAACATCACAGAAAGGTGTGGTGCATTTCATTGCTGTCATACAAAATACATGAATTTTTTGTCTTCTATTATAACTTCTATTTTCTGACATAATTTGAGTGCAGCAGCTACCATTTACAGGGTGTGAACGTTTCTTGACGATCTGACAGATAGAAATGGTTCAGAAAGACTTGGAGTGGATTCTTGGTACATTAACACCCATTAAAAGTTAAGAATGTTTTTCTTGCTCCTGTAAAGTTATCAATCATAAATATATTAGAGATACAAGTTTTTGTTAGGACAATAAAGATGACCCAAAAGTTTAAATGCCATATTTTGTCGATTTTCTAAGAGAAAGTCAACACATACTCCACAGGGAACAGACTTAAACATGCCGTTTTTTTTTGCAATTTATAGTTTTTATAGTAACTTTATTAGCTGAGTTTAACATTTTGGAAAAAATAAAAACAAAACATATAATATGCCATAACTTTTAAACAAACCACATTTTATTTTTTTTTTTCCCTAAAATTAAATTAAGCAAATAAACAGTAATTGTGCATTAAAATTATTGAAATTGTGCAGATTGTGTAGAAGTGTGTTCTCTGTAGAGTGTGAATGTGTTAGAATGTATTTTCACTTTATAGTATATGTAGTATACGGTTTTGTGGTTTACACAGATATTTATTATGAAAATTTAATTCTATAACACCTACTCTCACAGTTCTCGACATAATACCAAGAATAAAAACTAAAACTGAAACTAAATAAAAACTGAACTATTTGAAAACAAAACCAAATGTAAAACTAGTAATGCGCTCTTAAAACTAAATGAAAGCACACAAAAATAAAAAAAAACAAAGTCAAGAACTAAAAAGAGTAAAAACAAAGTAAAAATTCAAAATTGTAATAATCCAAGTAAACATGCACTTTGATAAATGCATACACTCACAGAAATACTTGTTAATACGAGCCCAGACCTCCGTTCCTCACTGCTATAACTTATTAATCACTCAACATTTTTTGCATGCAGTTATTGAATAACACTTCTATTTTCTAATATGGTTATACAAAGAAGTCTAAAAGAATAGTTCTTTTATATTATTATCAGTGCTGTAGATTTTCTAGGAAACCCAGCACACAGAGCCCTCCTTTTCTGTGACATCAAATATCAGCATTTCTAATGATAGTTCCATAAAGCTGTTTCAGTCCTAATGCAGTGAAATGATGCAGTGTAAATGAGACTGTGTTTGGTCTGTACCTTCTCCAGTGAAAGGATCTGCTGTCTCTGTCTTTCGTCCAGAACTTGGCTCTTATTCTGCAGTGCTCCTCTCTCCTCCTCCAGACGCAACACCTTGTCCTTCAGACGTGACTTCTCTGATTCCAGGTCCCGGATGGCCGCCTCATGGGTCATCTGCGTAGCCTGCAAGCTGCCGATCTGACCTGAACCACACAGAGAAGATCATCAGAATCACCACTTGCTGTAGGGCTTAAAACTTTACCACCAGCTCATCTATACTTCAGCATTCTACTGGACCTGGACCACTGAGTGATTTTTGGCTCCAGGACAGTACTGGAAGAATATGTGAACTTTTGGTTTCAGGAATAAACCAGACACTTCAGGAGACTCACTTTCAGTTTTTCAAAGAAATTTGCAGGGACATTTTTCCACACCTCCAAAGTTCAGTCTTAGAAGTTGTTTGCATTTTCTGCTTTTGCTTGATTTGTTTGATTCAATTTCCTTTTCTCAGTAAGAGCTTCTTGACAGCTACATATTCTTTCAGACGCATAGTGTTGAGTTGTCTTCTCACAGTGGAAGGATGGACAGAAACACCTGTGGATTTTTTCAGATCTGAAGTAAGAGTGGAGCTTGATTTTCTCCTCTCTCTCAAAGATGAAAGCTTTAAGTTTATCTGATTGTGACAGTTTTGACTGTTTATGAGGTCTTGCACGGTTGTTATGAGGTCTGTTTTTGTTTAATCTTTTTTTTAACTACAGTTTTGGAAACTTGTTTTTTCACTTAATTTCTTCAATTTTCTCTTCTTTATACAAGTTGAATACTTTACATCTGATCTCCCCACCGTTAAGGAACGCATCTTATCTTATTTCTTGAAAAATGAATAACATACTTAGTGTTTTTTTTGCCTAGAAATTAAATAAATGAAGGGTGGTCTCTAACTTTCACACTATAATGAAAGTGCCAGGAAGATAATGATGTCAGGTGTGTACAAACCGTTGGCATCTGAAATCAAAATTGACCTTCTTTTCAACTTCTTTCTCCTTCTTCCTGGTCTTACTAAGCATGATTCCTCACATATCATACAATTTCAAAGATTAAATTCTTCTTTTCCTGTAATATCTGATCAAACTGTAGTGACTTTTACTTGCCTCAAAAAATGCCTTCTGAGTTTTGTTTATATTACTGTGCACCAAAAATAATAATATATCAACATATTAATGTTTCACCTCCCCCTCCTGCTACTATATTAGGGGACTGTACAGAGCCCCTGTACACAACACGACCCTTTAGAGAAGGAAATTGTGTCATGATTTCTGACTTCAAGTGTTAAAATACATATTTCAGTTCCATCCACTTCATCAGACATCTCATTCCTTTCACTTGTTTTCTGTATCTTGCAAAAAAAGCTGTTGAATAAACATGACCTGCCATGTAAAGATATACTGTAGAACTCTGTTACCCTGGAAACAAAGGTTTACAGTATGTTTTGATTTGTTGACTTTCTATTTATCCATGTTCTCACCAGTTAAATGCATTTATCATTGGCCCAGACACTGTAAGACAGGCTGGTGTGCATGTTTTCCTTGTGAAAGGTAAGCAGTAATGCTGGCATTTAGGCCAGGAGAACAACAGGTGCTGCATGGCCAGCTGAGGCCTCACTCCCCTGGGGAATGTTCCATAAAGCGGGTGTTGATGAGGTCTCAGTGTGCCTCTGAGCTGGGACATTCAACTGCTGTTGCCAGGATACCAGCAGGTCATCTGTCACCCCAAAACTTTGCCGTCAACACACACGGCTGCCGAAACTGGCCTTGGGGCAAATCAAAGAACCATTTCTGGCCCAAGCTCTGAAACTCTGAGGCTCATATTTAATTTATTAATCACACAGGAGATGAGAATAGAATAGAGAATGTAATAAATCACTCTCTGAACCAACCATTGCTGTTTCAAATGTGGTGAATCTCTGTGAACTTCTCTAACCACTGAAAGTGTGGCCCCTGAACCTACATCGCCTTCGGTTCTGGCTGTGGCCACTGTGTCAGGGTTGATGGACTGTGAGCTTATGGGTCAGGAGATGTTTCACATGTGTCACAAGCAATTGGGTGGTCATCTGTAGATGCACAATAATTTGATCAGTGCTTTCCTTAAAGGCAAGTGGCAACTTCAACCTTCACGCTCACCTACAGTCCAGCCATGAGATTTGGCCTTGATGTGATCCACCCTTCACAGCCACCGATACAGATGGATTTCACTGAAGGCTGCTTTTCTACTGGCTATTAGCTCAGCTAAATGTAGTAAAGCTGTGAGTCCACTACAGAGTCTAAAAGGCTCTGACAGTATGACCTAACCTAGTTTTATGCCTTCAGTAGGTATATAACTGTATTCATTTGGCTTCATTTACTGACAAGCAAGACATTCAATGCTCCCAGTATTGCCCAGTCTTTTAAGTACTATGTAGCCAGACAGATCAACAGTCAGTTTGCATCAGTGATGGGAATAAATAGACTCCTGCATCAGAGTCCATCCCACTCAGCAGTGGAGGTGATTTCTACATGCAACACACTTTTTGTGTTATCATTATTTCAATACATTTTGTACAAGGTCAAAAACATATACAAGTACACCGATCAGCCATAACAGCCTTGTTTCTACACTCATTGTCCATTTTATCAGCTCCACTTACTATATAGGTGCACTTTGTAGTTCTACAATTACAGACTGAAGTCCATCTGTTTCTCTGCATACTTTGTTAGCCCCCTTTTACCCTGTTCTTCAGTGGTCAGGACCCCCATGGACCCTCACAGGGCAGGTGCTATTTGGGTGGTGGATCATTCTCAGCACTGCAGTAACACTGATGTGGTGGTGGTGTGTTAGTGTGTGTTGTGCTGGTCTGATGGATCAGACACAGCAGTGCTGCTGGAGTTTTAAACACCTCAGTGTCACTGCTGGACTGAGAATAGTCCACCAACCAAAAATATCAAGCCAACAGTGTCCTGTGGGCAGCGTCCTGTGACCACTGATGAAGGACTAGAGGATGACCAACACAAACTGTGCAGCAGCAGATGAGCTATTGTCTCTGACTTTACATCTACAAGGTGGACTGACAAGGTAGGAGTGTCTAATAGAGTGGACAGTGAGTGGACACAGTGTTTAAAAACTCCAGCAGCACTGCTGTGTCTGATCCACTCAGACCAGCGCAACAATAATCTAACTTTTTTAGATTATATTATATGCGCATAATGTGACGATCAAACTTACATATTTTTATGGCTTACATTTTTATTTTTAAATGACCTTCAATAAATGTGCTTAATATTGACTTAAGATGCCCAAAACTAGTCTTGGGACACCTCCATCATCACTTGTTCTTTTTGGAATTATTTAATTTGTTATTTTACCATATTCAAGTGTACAATATTTTAGCTATATTTTGACTTATCAATGAATACTTTGGTTCAAATGAACAATAACCAAGTAGTTAGTCACCTAACCTCCCATTTTACTTCCATACAATGTGGGGACACTACTACAACACGCATCATAGAAAACATAGAAAACTATTGAGTTGAATTAATCTGTCAGAATATTGTCTCTTGGTAATAATATATCTGTAACAAAGATTGCAGACATCCAAAATCAAATAAAAAAAAAATGTAATAAAAAAAGAGAAAAAATGTCTCATTCTGACCAGCCAAATGAAAACTTTAAGCTTTCATCCAAAAGAAGAGATCTGCAACATAATACTGACTTTAATACTGATAATAATAAAATACTAAACACTAACCTATATACATTAAGGAAACACTAATGTTTGTCCCACTGATGTTTGAGTACTTTAGTTTTCATTTTTGGGATCATTCTGAGTTTCAGATAGTAAACCTGGCTGTTATTGATGGCTGTTATAACTTTTCTGATGGATACAAAGGAGCTTGGAAAGTAAAAAATAAGCCAGACATGTCCTGTACTTAGAGTGTGTCCCACGACTACATTTGAGCAGCGTATGATCCAAAGTGACTGATTAACATGATACCTTTAAAGTGCTGCAGTAAAACCACTTCATTATTGATATGTTTGTAATGATATACAGTCTAGACTAACATCTTTCTTTGGGAGAACAATTTACATCAAACATCCATTATACTGTGCTGCTAATTTCTCTTTGTTTTAAATGCACTGTTTCTGCTATCTTGGGTGTTTTGAACCAGAAGTGACACGAACAGTTAGGCGGAACGTTTTTGTGATACTTTCAAGATACTTTAACCAGTCGCAAGTTAAAAATGTAGCAGGAGTGCATTTAGTACATGTTTCTGGTGACAAAGCCACTCACTCACATTTTATGTGCCCACATTTACATGAAATGTGGTTCAAACATAGTGGAAACACTGGTGCTGCAAATATGATATATTTTCATTTTTAACTGTAAATTAGTTCCACACTGTAGACTGTTAAACTGCACTGTTAACTTCTGAAAGCAGGCATCATTTCTGCAGGTTGTGGATAATTCCTGTTTACATCACCTCTAGTAAATTCGGTCAATACTTAAAATAAGCCTGGATCGGCTCTGATACTAGGTGGCAGCGAAAGGTGTTTTGCTGGTGTGTGCCTGTGCAGCAGCTATTTGGTCATTACTCCTCTGATTCTTCTGGACCTCTCATGACACAGTGAGCTTGCTGGGGCTATGTGGGGCTTCTCAGCTTCACTCTAGGTGAGTCTATTGTTTGTGACTTTGTTAGCATACATCACCCACTACGCTTTGAACCACCTCTGGCAGTCAGTAGGACCAAAATAGAACCACAACCTACATTTGTGAGTAGCATTCTAAAAAGGATGTGAACATTTTGTCACCGGTACCAATTTTACGTGCCTAAATTCATATAACTCTTATTACGTTAAAAATTAAACAATTACACTGCTTTAATAATTGGTATGACTGTCAGTCATATTGTCAGTTGTCAACCGCAGTTCATGAAATTCTCAACTGCCAAATTTCCACAACTCAAATAAAAAGCAGAACCTTCCAAATTACAAAACAAGCCACTTGTAAATACTCTATGTATTGTCTAATATGTGCTGCAGTAAGCGTGTTTTTTTTACTGTAAAAATGTCATTAAAAAAATGCAAAAAAAACACAAATACTGTATATCTTGAAAAATGTAGTTAGTTTCAAGAACAAAGTTTGGTTCCGTATTTTCCTCATTGTCCCCACTTTCCACATGGACTTATTCAATTCCATCACAAGCACATTTGATTTAACATAAAGAATAGCAAATAATACTGGGCTACCACAATGAGAGGTTTGGAAAGGTTTATGAAGAGGTTTATTCTGATACTAGCATTTTCCTGAAATAAAACACTTACTGCCCAAAACAATATGATCACTATCAAGCACTTATTGTAATCATTTGGCAGCCCTAGAGACTGTAGCTGCGTTCCAAAGCCTGGGCCGTAGCCGAGGTAGGCTATATTTCTCGGCTGCCACGTCATAGCAGGCTGTTCCAAAGTGAAGGACCCTTCATATACAGCCTAGAAATGCAGCCTACATTCAAAGTGATTTCAAGGATGCGCAAACGTTGTGAAGGAAAAAGAAGAGCCCCACGAAAATGACGGAAAATGGAGCTGTTGGAGCAGAGCTTGTTTTAAAATGCAAGTTGTTCACGTCCTTGAATTCATCTTCATAACCTTACATAAAAAGTGTAGAATGATTAATTAAAGCATTCATCCATATATCGTATTTTAATCAGAAGTATTTGTATACATGCAGTTTATCGTACTACATAAGCTTGTTGGCATATTAGCTACCATAGCAACAAACATAATGCAATGGGCTCAGAGAGGCGGGACCTTTTTCGTAACGTCACCACACTAGGCTACTAAGGAGGAGTTTTCAAAGGACAGTCCTACCGGAGACCTGCCCTACCTCGGCTGCAGTCTAGGCTTTGGAACGCAGCTATTATGAGTGTTTTATCAGTGGGATCTACACTGATGCCAGTATATCCAAGAAACTGTAATATTGTTTGCTCTAGCCAGCAATATACTGGACAGGCCCTATCACTGGTTTTAGACACGATTACAAATGAAAGCAAGCTTTGTCTCTGATTTTAGACTTGAAAAGAACTAAAGAAGACAGCATAGATATGCCAGGGTGTAGACATGTCAGCAATGTTGAAGGAAACAGTGTTATCTCACTGGCTTTGAGGAGGATCTCAGTGGCCTGCTGCTGAACTCTGTCTCTGGTGGCCTCCAGTTCGCACTCCGCTTCTTTCTGCCGGATGGCTATGATCTCCGCATCCTGAGTCACCTCATCCAGCTGTTTGTGGAGCTCCTGCAGACATACACACAAACCCATCAATCAAAGCAGCATCATCACTGAGCGACACGGCTGCTGTCTCATTCTCACTTTCCACTGATTTGCGTCTCTCATTCGGGCTGCCTTTCTTTATCTGATCACCGGCTACACTCTTGTCTCTCTCTGTCTGGCTATTTCCTTTTTCAATCCCTCGTCTCTCTACCTCACCCTTATTAATTGTGAATGCACACATTATCTCTTCCTCTTCTATTCTCTACGGCAATTTCCTCTGCTGCCCTCACTTTCCTTCTCTCCCTATTTTTCTCTCTATTGCTGTCATTTTCTCTCCTATTAATCAAATCATTGCTATCTATCTGCTCTCTCCCCTTTTTTCACTCTATCAGCCTCTCTCTCTCTTTGTCTCTGTTGTGCCATGCTGTATTACCCTTTCCACTCTCCTCACTGGCACATGCACACTCTCATTCACACAGACTGCGTATTCTGGAGAAGTGAAGATGAGCAGACACGTCCTCATCTCTAATTAGACAGTTTTTATAGCACACTGCGAGTGTTGTCTCCGCTCAGCTGCTCATTATTCATGAAATAATACACATCTAGTTTTATAGTTCACAAAAGGGTCCATTCTTAAATAGAACACTGCAGTGGAACTGAATGCACATGAATTCCTATTCGTCTTCATTCTCTTTGCTGGACAAAAAAGCCATTTTGTCTGGATGCTGTGGTATATTATGCAGGTCACTGTTAACCCCCTGAATGGCCAGTACCTGCCATTCATTTCTGTTTTCTAACTTAAAGGGCAATTCTACCATTTTTCAAACTTTCTGTATAATTCAATCTTTGGGAAGTTCATTCAGAGTAGTTTCAAGTAAAATGTTCCATTCAAGAAAAACTGACACAGTCATACTGTTTTTTACAGCAAGAGGCTTCAGTCATGGAGGATTTTAGCATTTTCTAAACCTTTTAAAGTATGCATATGATACAGTTGTATGCAAAGGTTTGCGCACCCCTGGTCAAATGATATATTTTCTTGAGTTAAAATAAGTTAATACGTCCTCTACAGAGAACGCACTTTGGTACATTTAAACAAACAATTACATATTGAGAATTATCATATTAAGAAAAGCAATTAAACACAAAATGTGGCCTGTGCAAAAAAATTGGGCACATTCTGTATTTTATATTTAATTAATGTAAGCTCTGGGTATCTGGAGACATTTCTGATGGAAATGTGTAATAGCACGCAACGTGTGGAAGAACATCTTGTAACGTGGGTTGTGCTTCAGAGCCCTTACCCATGCAGATGAATCTGGTGACTGCGAGTGCATTAAAACAGTACTTACAGAGAACTCCCACAAAAATCCAACCCGACGCCTCTGACTTTTAAATTACAATTTCAGGGTTTACAGGGTGACTCACAGCAGCACATGAACGTCATATTTTAGTATTTCTTTCTCTTTACTCAGTAATCCTACTTGATTCAATCTTAACAACAAAACTTGCATAGTGCAGCTTTAAACTCAGCACCTAAATAGAAATTATGCACTAAAATCTGTAGAAAAATGCAGAGTTTGTACTCTGTAGTGGTGACTTATTTTCACTAACAAAATCAAGAAAGCATGTCATTTGACTGGGGATGTTCAAACTGCTGCTTACAACTGTGCATATGAAATAGCCACTCATTGGCTGGAACTGGCTTATGAAAATTGGAAGCTGAGTTCACTCTGTAAAATAATTAAGTGATTTCATGTGAACAGTGCATTCACACAATGAAAACAATGTTACCGAATTACTGCAAGTAATAGATGCACACTGATGAAGCTTATTTTGTATAGCTATAACAAAATACACCTCTTTATAAATGTAAAAAAATCTCTCTTTATAGTCAAATTTAAGCAAATGGGACAAATGTACTGTAAAGAACAATACTTCAAGTTCATTGTGTCACGCATCCCTCCGGCTCTGAGACGCTCACGAACTCAACCTCCCAGAACCCTCTGATCGATGACTCTTCTCAGCGCTCCAATCATCGATTTCATTCTCCTACTAATCTTGTACACCTGTTCTGTCATGTGTCTATTTAGATTTAGTATAAAGCCCGGGCTTTTAGATGAGTTGCTTTGCAAGGTATTGCTTCTTCGAGTGAGAGCAACTGAGTATTTTTCTGATTGTCTCCTTATTACTGTTTTGTCTGCCTGGAATTTTTCGACTCTGTCTGCTTGTCTCTGCCCCTTTGGATTTGGTGGCCTGGTTGTAATGATTTTTCTTTTCTGTCTTTGGATTTTTTCAGATTTGATCTCTGCCTGTTTCACGAGTTTTGCTCAAGCCCTTGACATTAAAGCCTCTCCTTTTGATTTTTACCGCAAGCGTCAGATTCCGTCACACATTGAACATCAAATAGTAAGTTAACAGAACAGTTATTGTGTATTTTACTTTCTGTTGACTCATTTTTTAAAGTACAATAAAATTTAAATTTTAAGGCAGCCAGATTACTTACATTTTTAAGTAAAAACTTTAAAGGAGTTTTAAAGTGTGTGATAAATCACAATTAACTAATACTATGTGATTGGGATTAATTATTGTAATAGTTTAAATTACAATACGCTTTTGTTATTGACAGTGATAACTGAGACTAAGAGTTAAGCAACACTTATGAGATTGCAGTCTTTCGTTTAGAGAGTTGAAGGCAAAGTTCAATGAGCAAAGCAGCACCACAGTGTTCGTCTTGCCAAGTTGGACTCTAGCGTGTGTTATTGGGTTTAAAGCAACACATTGATCTGCTCCCCTGCCCCTAGTGTCTGCTGATTGATGAGGAGTCGAGAGGCACAGCTGAAAGGTGGCAATGACCACCATGCCATTGCTCACGACTTCCCCTGAGGATTGCGCGAGCTTCTGATTGGTCCACGTCTGGAGAGAGTGGCTCCAGGTGTGCTGAGACCAGATGAGTTTAAGCAAACACTGCGCTTCATTCAGCAAACCTGTTTGTGTTGTTCTTTCCTAATAAAAGCTGCGCCAGTTCTTAACGCACAGCTGCTTCAACCATCACCATCCGTACATTTCTCCATCTGATCAACATGGATTAACCAAAACTGACCGGGATGTGCCCCTGAGGACAAGCCCATTATGAGACACAGACTTTGAAAATGTCACAGTGACTCCAAATCGATTCTATTAAAAGAGCAGCTTTCTGCAGAGTGAATACAGCTGCAGAGTGAGGCAGCTGCTTTGTCTTCGCCAGAAAGTACGCTTGAATATGGCTGCCCAAGAGAGCTGTAGGATTCTTTGAGCACTTTTTATAATACTGTGTCATTTACAACAACAGAGACTGTAAAACTTGTTTTATAGGTTTCGAAGCTTTATCTGAATGATTCATCCTTTTTTTTCCTTTTCTCCATTCGTTCTAATGCAGCTCTACACCCCCCTCCACTAATTACAGGCATAAATACACCTCCATTTATAATCTAAATTCAGAAACAGGTTCCAGGGATTTCATGGCTGCTCACTTATTAAAGGGTGACTTTGTGTTGACTAAGAACAAATTAGGGACGCATCTGTGCACTGCACCTTTTGAAATGTGGCTGGATTCATAAGCGTAAGATCAAACATGCAACACAGCCCAGATAAAAATACAAACCCATGATCACATTTTCATATTTACCACACATCAACACTAAATATATTTTATTAATCATTGTACACAGCACGCTGTTATTGTTATTTGCATATTGTATTGTATATTTGTGTTATTATTTATTATAGGGTATATTTGTGTGGTATTCGTGTTTGTGTTATTATTCATAGGAAATATTTATGAAATGGTAAATGGATTGGAGCTGGTGAAGCTCTGCTTAGGCACCAGGCATGTGATAGGTCAATGTTAGTGGTAATCATTAATAACTGTAGTCATATTTTAATAATAGAATAATATGCATTTCAGTAAATAAAGCATTACTAATGGTATTATTGTTAGTAATGAATACATTGTGCCAATTAACTAAGTGCCGGATGCCCCCACCTGCCTGTCTAAACTCCAAAGCACATATCTCTCAATCAAGAGTCCTGAACTGTCATACTCCTTGTACCTCCATCATGTATAATGGTATCATGAACAATGACTGGTCAGCTTAAGTTAACAGCCACCTTCCATCAGCTCCCACATAGCTGTCTCTCACCATTACAGTGTACGTACACTCTCAGGTCTTTGGCAGCTCTTTGGAAAGATGGTTAAGTCACGAAAGGAAAGAGACTTTATCTATTTTTCTTATTCAATGTATGCATGAGTGGTGTAGCTAGTATTTCTCTGTGTGGTTGGGGGGGGGTGGATCTACCACTAGCCTACTTTATTGTAAGTTAGCTAACTCATCATTACCAAAATAAAAAAAGGAATATTGAACCAAACATATAGTTGCTTAGCTCGCATTCAACTGCTTACCATTAGTAACTATAACAGCTGACAGCACACCACAGCGAGTAAAGACTGATTAATCAGAATCCTACTTGCAATAACTCTTCTCTTGGTTTAGCCTTTGTGCATGACAGCTTTTCATTTTGTACTTGAAATCTGGGGCGCTTGGCTTCAACATGAGGGAGCCTAGGTCCCTCCCGGCTTCCCATAACTACGCCCCGGTGTGTACAGCTTAACATTAATCCTACACGAAAAAAACAAAAACGAAGAAGCGCTTCAGAGGTCACAAAAATGAAGCAAAAAGACAGATGCTCCTGGGGCATGGGTGCAGCAAACTTAGAGTAACAATTCCATGCTGGGAATGACAAAAACCAGAAAAGCCATCCATCCACAAGGCATGTGCAAAGTAAGTCCCAGAGCAAAGGAATTTTTGACATTTTTTGTGTCCTGATGGAAGCCTGAGAAGGCCACAACACACTGGCACATTTTTATACATATTGCCATGTTTCAGTAAAGGCTTTTCTTATACTTCTCTTAAGATGGTGTTCCCAGGAATTCCTTTGCTCTGGGATTTATTTTGCACATGCCATGTGGATGGGGATGGATTTTTCTGGTTTTTGCCATTTCCAGCGTGGAACTGTTATCATGATTCATCCTACATTTTCCTGCAGTATCTCTGTCTTTAATATTCAGTGACACAGCCAACATGAGCTGTCTCTGTTCCTCTTTGCCTGTCTCAGTAGTTTCTCAAACTGGCAGAAAGAATTTGCACAGCTTTCCTGTTCATTTCTATCTGGATATAGCATACATATTTGTAGATTACATCAACTTAGCTCTAGTATATAGTTAACCTGCTAACTGTTAATATGTGAATTACTAAGATGTTTATTAAAGGTGCACTATGTAAGATGTGGGAATTTGGATGACTGAGAGTGCACTGAAAGACCTCAAAGACCTCTCTCACGTGCCTTTCGAGGATGTAAATGAATCATCTACTATTGTCATCATATCTTCATTGGTACAATGTTGATTTTGTATTTGAAACACTGAGCTGTACCTTCTTTTTGAGCTTGTGCGTGTGATGTTAATATGTAAAGATGTATGATGTAGTCTGAAAAACTACTGCAAAATCTGACCCGACACATCTGGCTTTATAGGGCAACTCCCAGCAGTGGACAGACACCATATTTAATGTGCTTTTCCTCCTGACTCCTGACTTTCTGTCAATTCTAACAAAAAAAATCTGACATAGTCCAGCTTTAAAGAAAAGTTTGCTCTTTAAAAAAAAAAAAAGGCAGCAAAGCCCTGCCTACCATTAAAGGGCTTTAGTTCAAGTGCCCTTCTGACCAGTGTAATTACACCCTTGAGAGAAGAACTGAGTGGAAAATAAAAAGAGAGCTAATTGGCTCTACAGTGCATAAATAAACTTTTTCAATCAATAATAAATAAATAAATGTACTAGAAAGTGTTACCAGCCTTAATTAATATCAACTCAAATTAACCCCTTACTTAGATCAAACTGTGGATTATGTGCAACTTAACTCCATAAGATCAAAGTATTTAGTTTTGCTTTGTCTCTGACACATACTTCTACTTCCCTTGTCTCTTGAATTTAATCTGAAATTCCTGAGGATTAAAGGATCGCCCTTGAAAAAAAAGATAAAATAAGCGGTGTGTGCAGACGATGTGGAGCACCATACCTCCTAATTACAGCAAATTCCACACACTAAACATGAGCTGTAGTGATTGTGACTCTCATCTTAAAGTGCTCTTTGGTGATTTACATAGAACACAGTCTCCCAAACGGCAGGCAACAAAGTCTTACAAGAACGAAACTGTTACCTTGATGTTGTTCTCTGCTGCGGAGAGAGTAGCCTGTAGTTTGTGGGATTTCTCTCGGCTCTCCCTGGCCTCCTCCTGGACCCTCTGCAGCTCAGAGCGCAGCTTGCCCAGCGTCTTCTGCAGCGCTGCCTCTTGCGCTTGGAACTCCTTCCTCAGCTCTGCCTCTGTCTTCTTCCAGGCCAGAAGGTTCTCCGCAGTCATCTGCTGTGTGCGCTTCATGGCCTCCAGCTCACGCTCGTAGAAGGCCTGGGCCTTGTTCAGCTTGGCCTCATACTCCTCCACCAGACGCTTCTTGTCCTGTTTCAGCTCCTCCACCCTCTCCGTCAGAGCCTCTACCTCTTGCTTGTGCAGCTGGCTGAGCTTCTCCTGGTCTTTACTGTAGTTGGCATTCTGGCTCTGATGAGAACGAAGCAGCTCTTGGACCTGCAATGAAAACCAGTTTGAGATGTGGAACATGTAATTAGGAACTGTAGGCCCAGGACTGAACTCAGGGGCTGGATTCTCAAAGCATTTAACCCACTAGGACCTTCATATCTTCCCAGCCTCGGTCATAACGGGCTGCTGCAGTGATTCTTAAAACATTTCAGGTGCTGTTTGTGTTAGCAGTAAAAAGAATACAATTTTTTGTCATCATATATTAGTTTTTAAAGAGCACATTTAACAAAGCCTTTACAAGGTAAAAGTGATTCAAATAACAGTAAAATAAACTGTCATAATACAATTCAAAATAAACAATAACACACAGTTACATATTTGGCACAGTCAACATTTTTTTTTCCTCCAATATGTTAAATTCTGCAAATAAACAGTAATTGTGCATTAAAATATGCAGAAGTGTGTTCACTGTAGAAGATGTGTTAACTTATTTTCACTTGGACAAAACATGTCATTTTTGACAAAATCAACAAAATGTAATTTTATCAGGAATGCTCAAACTTTTGCAGGCAACTATGTATGACAAAAATAGTAATGTAAGATGAATATACACGGTGATTCAAAAAGACTCATCTGATTTCAAAATGATTTATTTCACTTGTAAATCATTACAGAACAGTGCAGTAAATTGTAAATGGTGTAAGTGAGCTTAAAGTTTATTATGTAATTTTACAAGTGCTCAATATGAACCTCCTCCAGCGGTACGGACAACATCAATGTTATAATCAAATTCATCCCATACTCGATTCATCATGTCGGGTGTCACTGCACTCACATCTTTCAACGCGATTTTGGAGATCATCCAGTGTTGTGGAACCAACATCGAATGCTCTGAGCTGTTGAAGGTTCTCAGCCGCCAAAAATCACTCTGCACTGTTATGATGGATTCACTCTTATTGAAGTGGAGAACGCAAAATGCTTTCTGCTAAGGGGTCACCATCTCCTCGCAGACTGAAGGGAGCCGTCTTCCGGTGACAGTCAGAAACTCTATGACCCCCTCTTTCAATTGGTATGTAACTGGTTCCTAGGCGCCTCACGGTTGTAAAACATATGGCGCTTTGAAATTAGATTAATCTTTTTGAATCACTCTGTAAGTTCTCGCCATTGTTCACACTAGGCAGAAGGTAATGACGTACCATGTGGACTCACTTTCATCCTATTGGCTGTGTGCATATAGAAAAGCACTGTCATTGGCAAAGAGTACAACAGGTGACATGCAGCCTTCCCAAGTTCCATCCTTCTTTTGAGAATGAGCCATATCAAAAGTCACTAGAGTAGTCCTAGGTTGAAAGGGACATAAGGCCATTGAGAATCTGGCCCAGGTTGTAACTAGGACTGTTCCATTCGTCTAACCATGTATATCTCAACCTTTCTTAAGCCTCCTGCCAAAAAGGAGGATGTACCTTGATATTCATGCATTTGTTCTGAAATGGCTTATGATGAAGCCATGGTTTTGACTATACAGCCATTATTCAACGCAATGAAAGACAAATGCAAATAAATTGTTGCAAACGTTAAAAATGTTAAATGCAATAAAAACAATGAAATACAAAATAACTGTATAATGCAAAATAAAATAAATACAGTAAAATAGAAAATTAGAAATATTCTATCACTACTATCACTGCTATGCTGATGACACTCAACTTATGCTTTCCTTACCACCTTCTGATGCTCAGGCTTGCAGTTGCATCTCAGCATGTCTGACTGACATCTCTTCATGGATGGCAGCTCACCATCTGAAGCTCAGTCCTAGCAAGTCAATTATCGGTCATATTGCGAACCTAACGTGGTCATGCAGGTTTCTCCTGTACTACATCCGGAGGATTCAACCCTTTCTCACTCAAGAGGCCACCCAGGTGCTAGTTCAGTATCTTGTCATCTCAAGGCTTGACTACTGCAACTCGCTCTTGGCTGGTCTTCCTATGCAGGCCACCAAACCCCTGAAACTCATTCAGAATGCAGCAGATCGGCTTGTCTTCAATCTTCCTAAGTTCAATCACGTCACTCCACTGCTGTGCTCCCTTCACCGGCTTTCTGTAGCTGCATGCACCAGATTTAAAACCCTGATGCCTACAAAGCCAAAAAGTGACAGCCCCTTCCTACCTAATGGCAGTGATCAAAACTCAAACTGTACCTCAAGCCCTTTGGGCTTTAAGTACAGCTCGGCTTGATCCGCCATCCTTCAAGATGCATGGAAGACAAGCATCAAGACTTTTCTCTGTCCTGGCACCCAGGTGGTGGAACGAACTCCCATTGGCTGTGCAAACAGCAGAGTATCTTGCCGTCTTCAAACGCAGACTGAACACACATCTCTTTATACAGCACTAAAGTGAGCACTGAGTTAAGTACTTACTGTATTGTGTTGTACTGTACTTATTGAAATGTATTGTACTGTGCTGTGTTTAACTGTGTTTCTTTTCTTTAGGTATCAACATGGGCTTTTGTTTCTAGCAATATCTGAGCTCAGGACTAGTTTTCTCTCTAACCTATTTGTAGGTAGCAAACATACTTCCTCTGAGTAGACAACAAAACACTTGTAACTCGCTCTGGATAAGAGCGTCTACTCAATGCTGTAAATGTAAATACTAATGCATTTTTTTTAAATAAAAAAAGTCTTGTTTTTTTTCTCTGTATTTATACTTGCCAAGATAAACAGTGTGTATAGTGTATTTTTTCCCATTTTTCTCCCTGTTTTCTTCATGTTATATTAAACAAACACCAATAATAATAATGACAGAAAAAAACAAAAATATTTTCATTAATATGCAAAATAATAATAATTATAGTGGTTTTTGGGGAATTCTAAATCCACCCCATTTCACCTAAGGATATTTGAAACAGCCCAGTTTTCTTGATGCACCAGAGCTGAGATGTGCTTTCCTCATGTGCTGACACCTGAAGCTGTGTTGTCTGATGCTGCACTGAAGAGTTCAGTGACTTTCAGGCCCAATCCTATTTCTTCTTTTTACCCCTACCCCTGGTTTCAAGTGTCACCTAACCCCTTGGAACTGAGTTACAAGGGGTAGTGGTTGAAACCTTAACCTACGAAATGGGACCCTCAAATAAAAAAAAAAACAAAACAAAAACACTGCTTCATTAACAGGCTGCTAGCAGTGTTCTGCAGGCAACCTGGCCCGTCTTCAATGACGGCAGAGAAGGGAAAAGTTCAGCGACCTCACTGCTGGGCTTTAGCTACATTTAGGGCATCATATGCTTTCAAAGAGGGGGGATAAGACAATTACTTATTATCGCCGACCGCTAATTCTTTGGTGATACAAAGCTGAGGTCAGCTATTCGCTATCTTCTTGTTCGAATTTTCCCGTTCCACCTTAAATGGTGCAGCAGTTACATTCTGGTGCTTCAGGCGTCAATACTGCCGGACTATTTAAGGTGGAACAGGAAAGTTCGTTAGCTAGCTAGCGAAACATTAGCATGCTAATAGCGATTTCTTATGCTTGTTATGAAGAAAACAACCATAATACATTGAAATGACATTAAACTAAGACAATACAACGGTTATCATAATTTTTAACGGAGAAAATGCTTACATTTGTGGATTTGTTTGGTCGCTCGCGCAGCCATCTTGCTGGTTTTTCTTTTTTCTCATTACACTCCATTTGAAGTGTGCCTCTGAAAAACCTCCACCCTCTGAAAAAGCCCTACCCCTCTATCTCAACAAAAATTGGGACACCCTACCCCTGGACATGAATGCGCAAAACAGAGGGGTAAGGGCTAAGTGGTAGGGGTAAGGTGTGAAATAGGATTGGGCCTAAATGTGGCACTGTGCCATAAGTAAGTTTGTAAAATTTCTGCCCTGCTACATCTTCCCTAGTAAACTGTAAGTGCTACTATTTTCAAATGTCTTGTCTATTTTCAAGGGCCTAGGAACAACATCTCAGCCAAAAAGCAGCAGACCAGACAAACTCTGCTGAAGCAAGTAAAGGGTAAAAATCTATCCCATCACTCATCACTCATTACAAACTGCTTCTGGAAGCAACACGAGCACAAAAACTGTGCGTCGGTAGCTTAATGAAATGAGTTTCCATAGCCAAGCAGCTGCACACAAGCCTAAGATGCCAAGCGTTGGCTGGGGTGGTGTAAAGCACGCTGCCACCAGACTCAGCAGTGGAAATGTGTTCTCTGGAGTGATAATTCTCGCTTCACTATCTGGCAGTCTGATGGATGAATCTGGGCTTGGCAGATGCCAGAAGAACACTACCTACCAGAATGCATAGAGCCAAAGGTAAGGATTGGTGGAGGAAAGATAATGACCTGGGGCTGTTTTTCAGGGTTTGGACCCCTTAGTTCCAGCAAAGGGTAATGTTAATGCAACAGCATTAGTCATTTTAGACAAGTATATGTTTCCAACTTCATGGCAACAGTTTGGGGAAGATCCTTTCCTGTTCCCACATTACTGTGCCTCTGTGCACAAAGCAACCTTCATAAAGATATGGCTTGATGAATTTGGTGTGGTAAAAACCCCAGAGGCCTGCAAAGAGTCCTGACCTCAACCTCACTCAACACCTTGAACTGGAATGGCGACTGTGAGACAGGCCTACTTGTCTCACAGCGATACCTGACCTCAGAAATTGTGTATTTAATTGAATGGGCACAAATTCGAAAATCTCATGCAAAGCCTTCCCAGAAGAATGGAGGCTGTTATAGCCGCAAAGGAGGGCATAGGCAACTCCACATTAACGCTGATGGTTTTGGAATAGGATATCCTACAAGCTCATATAGGTGTGATGGCCAGGTGTCCATGTACTTTTGGCCATATAGTGGATTCAAAATTCAAAATGGGCATATATTTTTCAAAAAACAATAAAATTCCTCTGTTTCAACATTTGATATGTTGTCTTTAAAGCATTTTCAATGAAATATAGGGTTTCAATGATTTGCACATCATTGCATTTTGTTTTTATTTACATTTTTCACAGCGCCCAACTTCTTTCGAAATGGAGCTGTACGATAAATGTGGTATTTATAAGAATGATACTTTATGAACATAAAAGTTAGTTTATGTTCACATGCGGGAATGTTAGTGTCTTGCTCTGGTTTGCATGAAATAAACCAGTCAAGGAACAACATCTTTTTCAAGTGGCCTAATTCTAGGTTACATAGTGGTTTTTATGGGCAAAGACACTTAATCTCTTTTATGTCTACCTAAGAGTTTTCCACGGTACTATATAACATGAACTAGGACAGCGCTAATAAAAATACAAGCTGTCTCACCTTCTTGCACACAGGAACCCTCTGGTTTCTAATTGGTTTTGCAGTGGCTGTCCAAACCTATTCTCTTTGGTACCACTTTACTGGGATTGGTGCAGAGTCAATTATACCATTAAAAAGCTGCTAAACATACTTGCTAAGCTACACAACTGGCTTCACATGCTGTAGCTCAGAGGTTCCCAACATGGTTCTTAGGGCCACCCAGACAGTCCACATTTTTCCTTCGTCATATGTTGAGTTGGGTTGGAGCAAAAATGCCGACCGTCTGGGGGGCCCCGAGGATCAGTTTGGGAACCACTTTTGTAGCTGACTGGCCATGCTGTTACCTCTTGCCGGTGTGCGGTGCGGAGCTCCTCCAGGGCTTGCCTCTTCTCCTGCTCAAACTGGGCCTGCACCTGTCCAAAGGAACGGAGTTTCTCTTCGAAAGATCGGCGCATCTCCTCCACCTCGCGGGACATGGTTACCACCCGCTGTGTGTGCTGCGCCTCTGTGCACAGCTGCATGTCCTCTACGCGTTGCCTGTACGACTCAAACTCAGCCAGCGCCTGCCGCTTCATCCGCTCGTGCAGCTCCAGGGACTCCTCCAGAGACTGGATGCGCCTCTTCAGGTCCATCTCGTCACTGATCTTGCTCTTGTACTGCATGATCTTCTCCCGCGTCTCCGACAGGATCTGCTGCACCTCCTCCTCGTGCGCCTCCTTCAGCGTCTGGATGGCCGCCTCATGCTCGTCGTTCTTTGTGTTGAGTGCATAGATCACCTGGTTGAGAAGAAGAGAAAATCGGATAAACAAGTGTCCAGAGACTGTCTCTGCTAGAAAGACCTTTATGTTACCAGGGTCCAACTGAGGGCTACATGTTTTTTTTTTTACAGAGTAAAAGGTTGAGGAGAATCAGCATGGAACAAATGTCATATCAAAGGTTAAGTAAATCCTATTGCTGACTCAGGACATTTGTCCTGAGTTTGTTCACATGAAGACACGCAGCTGCCTAGCAGACAAGGGACTCAGTGACCTTTAAATCCAAAAGACAGACTTTCAACTAAAAAGCTGCATTAATCTGACTATAAAGTGCTTTTTTCATCACGCAGACATTTTTCACAAATAACTTTCAAAGGCACAGTCGAAAAGGAACCAGAAAAGCTGTCTAATCTTTATCCTCCTGTCTATTGACTGAGAAAACCGGAAAACTTTGCCTAACTAGCCACTTTCTCCCGAAAGACAAAGTTAATAATGAATCTCATGGCTGCTTTTGACAGCCTTATTTTTCATATCTCAAACAGCATACAAAGGGTAAAAAAAACAACAATCCAGGCAGAAGTTTAAATATGAATGTGCTCTGTTGATAAGGGGACTTTCTGAAAGGTTTTTCTTAAGTGTGTCAACATTCTGCTGTTTTCATGTTGTAAAATCTTGGGTTGTTAACTTTGGCAGAACTCCCTCTGCATTTGTTTTGTTTGGAGACAAGAATGTGCAATATGTACATTATAAATACACATATTTGAAATATAAATACCCTAGATATCATCAGATTCATAAAAGCCAATGATATATTTATGGGAAAGATAACATGACAGCTCATTTTAACTTAGGGACAAAAATAACACAGTTTGCCTGGAATTATTATTGGACTTCAGACTTTGAATCTTGCTCTTTGTGCGTCACGCTCAGAATTCATTTCCATAATTGTCTGGACATCTGATTAGGCAAGTGCTGCGGCAGAACAATACACTTATCAGCACTGTGGCTCCTGTTCTGCATGAGAGCTGTTGGGGGAAATAATGGCCACAGAGTGGGGTGAAGCTGCCACCATCTTACAATGGGTTGCCCACACAGAACAGGAGTCATTATCTTTACTGAAGAGCAGTCATTATCTTTACTGTCCACTTTCACATATAACACTTCAGTATTCTCTCAGCCTGGTGAGTGTGGTGGACTGATGGGGGAAGCTGGTAGATCATTGAAGAGAGAATGTCATACAATAACACATAAATCAAAAATATTGCTCCCACGTTGTTGGCCCTCACTAAATAAGTAGGACTCCCACCTCCCCATGCCTAGTGGACAGTACCTGACTTTCAAAATCTCAGAATCACTATACTGCTTATACTCCTCATGTGCCACCTGTTGTGTTGCGCTGTGCATACTACATCAGTTAACGCAGGTGAGGCTCAAGCACTGCACACAGAGATTAGTGTCAAAGTGCACCTGATGACAAAATCCCACTGCCACATGGAAATAATTGCAATATGTGTTTATCACATGCCAAACTGGAGCTTAAGAAATTTGTTGTATTTGTTGTTTCTGCTCTAATTGGTGCAGATACACAGAATTATTTTCACTTTATTTCACCAAGAATGTTACATCTATGAGGAATTTCTCATGGTAAGTGTACAAACGTATGATCTGTGACTTTCCAAACAGACCAGTCAAGTACACCAACTATAACACATATTATAAATAAAATAAGACATTAACTAAGCGAAAAATAAAATAAAAATAGAACAGATTGGAAAAAGCACCGGTCCAACAGGATTAGTTGACAATAACCCATTCAACGAGGTGGTCATTTTGTCTGCATCTGTAATTTTAATCCCGTCCGAATGTCAGTCATTTTTATGGACTGTGCGCTCCTGCAGCAGAGATTTCAGCATGTTTTACCTTCTATAAGGTAAAAAAAAAAAACAGGTTCACATATCTGTAAAAACACTGTAAACTGTCTGTGAAAAGGGAGTTTCTTCAATATGGAGGCACTCAAAGAAGTGTTGTGAAGAGGAGTTGAGGGGTTGACCTAGGCCCTTTTGTTCCACTGAAGGGAAATCTTAATGCTTCAGCATACCAAGACATTTTGGACAACTGAATGCTTCCAACTTTGTGGGAACAGTTCAGGGAAGGCCCTTTTCTGTTCCAGCATGACTGTGTCCCAGAGCACAAAGCAATGTCCATAAAGGCATGGCTGACCTCAACCCCATCTAACACTTTTGGGATGAACTAGAACAGAGATTGTGAGGCAGGCCCACTGGTCCAACATCAATGTCTGACCTCACAAATGCTCTTCTGGATGAATGGGCAAAAATTCCCACAGACACACTCAGAAATCTTGTAGAAAGATTCCCAGAAGAGTGGAAGCTGTTATAGCTACAAAGAGGGACCAATTCCATATTAATGGCTATGGATTTCGAATGAGATGTAATAAAAGCTCCTGTAGGTGTAATGTGTGGGTGTCCCAATACTTTTGTCCATATAGTGTACGTGCAAGCTCTGAGCTGACATACAATCGTTATTATTTACAGCGTAATATAGGATGATAAGAACACTTAAAAATTAACATTTGTACATTTGTGCAAATTTTCCACAGCCTAACTTTTCCACCTCATTGAAGCATGAGAACTTTTTTTTTTGCATTTTTAAAAATTTCTTGCTTGTCCAGGCTTTTCTCACACATTTTCAAAATTCATATAGAAGAGATGGATGAAAAACCCTTTTGTGACTTTAAAAATTAGGGCTAAAATCTTTGTGTGCTCTCAGCTTAAATCCCAATCTAACCCCCTGCCCTTATCTGACAGTGTCTGTGTGCAGGCTTAACAAAACTATGCAGTGCTTAGCAGCAATAGCAGCAGTTTAAAGCTGAGGTAAGAACACTGATCCCAGGAGGGCTGTGGGGGGCTAGAGTTTTCCGATGTCTCCAAAATAACACCACAAAACCTTCCAGCATGATGCTGTTTTTTGCTGTCTCTCCAGCTATATTAAAATTCAACAGGCAGTCAGAACCCCAAACAAACACTCGACACCTGAATATCCTGAAGGCCTGACCGTTGGACCTCCACCCTGCTGTACACTGATTTATGGAGTGATTTTTCTGGTCATCTCGCCACCAAGGGAGCAAATCGACATTTGCTGCGCGGCTGGTTTGGAGGTTTATACCTTAGGGAGATTGGTCGCAGTTCGACATTTCTCTCTAAGGTCTCGGCAGTGCAACACAGCGATACAGTAAAGAAAAAAAAAAACACAGCTGAAAAATTGCTGTATTGCTCTGAGTGGTAGCCACGAGTGCAGCGTAAAGAGCCGCTGCCAACTGGCATCCTTGGGATATCGATTTGAGTGAGCTGGTCAACCATGTTAGTTCAGTCTTTAATCCGGAATAAGTCCAGCATGTTTGGCAGGCAGGGTGACTTGTGTCCTAACAGAGCTATAATAAGACAAATCCAATAACGTCCCCTGGCACTGCAGCTGTAATCACTTCCTCCAATCTAGGAGCCATTATGACTGGCCTCTTATCAGTCAATAGGACCTGCTCTAGGATAATGATAATAACCGACATTTGCTGAAGGACAGTGAGAGAGAGACATATTGTCCAGTGAAATGTAGCTTTCAGTAAATTGGTCCAGATTACCTAGGGGCTAAGGGAAATGCCATTGTGGCTATAGCCGCAGTCTGTTTCAGCGCTGTGACTCAGCATGAGATTAAAATGAGACACAGTTATGTTTTTCTATTCTTGAATGACTTTCCTGAAGAGTGCAAAGCAGGACTCACCTCTTGGGTATTAACAACCTCGACTGTCACAGAGCTTTGTATTCCTGTGTATTCCAAGAAGATACATTAACCTAAAACAGGCCACTCAGACCTGAATAAGTAGCTCACCAGCTGGACCAATATAATGTTACTGCACAAGCAATTGGACCTCAAGTAGAAGCCAGTGATTTGTAAGGTTTGTGAATATGCATTAAGTGGTTCATAGATAATGTTAATTAGAGTAATTATATTCAGCGGATGCACTAAACTGTAGGGTGGACGAGCCAAATAATGCACTTGGAAAAGTACGCATTGAGACTGAATAAAAGTTTATGAGCAGCTTCTCCAATGATCTGAAAACTTTACACACTTTTTTTTATAGATCACCTTCTTAAACATAGCCTTGTGGAACCTAACAATGCATCCTGCATGTAATCTCTCAGGACAAAAGTGGCCCTTCACTGTGAGCAGAAGCTGTAAGCATGGTCAGCTATGCATTTCTAAGGAGTGTCGGGCTTCCCCTGGTGTTGCATAAGAGCATCTGCGTGTCCCTCATTATAAGGGCGGGTGGTTATTACTTCGCAGCTTCATTATCGTGATGAATATTTCACACAGCTCAAGCTGATCTGCAATATTCATTTCCATCCTTGGAGTGATCTCATTGGATGCTGACGAGCAACAAATGCACAGGTCTTCTCAAAACCATTCATGCATGACACGGAGCTATTGCACTATGGCTGTTATGTAAGCTTCTAAACTGATGTAGCTTGACGGCGCTCCAATCACCTGCTCTGGAAATTAGCATCAGGAATCCTTTTTCTGATCCTGAATAATTCATCAAACTTCAGATTTCTATTTTTAGTCTGCCGGCACTGATTTGAAACTGACTGGATGAAGCCGCAGTCAGGAGGTTTCCCAGAGTGTACCATTCATTCGCATGGCATGCCTTAGGCTGAGGATCGATTTTCAGTGATTCAGTTTTTAGTGAACCTGCAACTGTTAACTCATTAATATGGATAATGAAAATTATTCTCTCACACTGCGGTCATGGATAACGTATGGCACTATTCCAAATGTTAAGTTTCCTGGCCACGCCATGGGCCGAGGCCTGCTAAAGCTGGTTGTTTTAAGAATATTTTTGCTTCTATTAAACCTTTAAGCCTTAGACTTAGCGAAAGTTGTTTCGAGCTACGGGTGCCATGGTCCAAAAGGTTGTGGTCCTGGCAAGTCATTATTAACTAGAAAG